TTGCCCAACAGTGGAATAGTTAATTTGATTCCAGTTTCAAAAAGAAAACAAGGGCAACTCTAGATTTTAACATGTCATATCTCCTAGTTTTTACAAGTCAATACCCCTTAAAACTAATACACAAGGGCAAGGGGGGAAAAACAGCTCCAACTTTTCCTTCTAGAAGAAAAAATGTAAAGTTGAGTTTTAAGATCTTATCTAGCTTTAAAAATAATTGATAAAGACTGAAATATTTTCTGGTTAATTGGCATTTTGCTTTGAGTGAAGTAACCCTATCTAATGTCTCCGTACGCAACTGCCCATCAGAAGCAGCTTCCCTGAGATACAACCAGAAAGGGCAGCTAGGTTTATTGCTTTCTCTTTCCTCCTCCAGAGTATGCCACGGATATGCAGTTTCTATACATATAAGACATGTGACAACATAAGAGGCAAGTATCCGGGGGCAGAGTTGGCTCTTGGCTTCAGGCCTGATGTGGCACATGGTCCATAGCAGGGGCTCAGCAATGCTTGCGGGAAGTTCCCAGGAATATACCACTCTAGGTCCTCCTTTATATAAGGATTACTCAGTGCAGAATTCCACAGTACATTTATATTAAATACTGGCTATCCTGAAAGACTTTAGATCACTAGCTACTCCCATCCAAGAATAATAAGTCAGATAAATATTATTCCTCCGTGTTGTGCAGTTAAGGCCTCTTCCCGGCAGCCTGCTCACAGTTGTGGAGAGCACTTGGCGGCCCTGTAACTCAAACCTATCTTTACCTCTCGGATACACGTTCAACTGAAAGCAATGATTCCTGGGCTTTCATGAAGAAAAGAGCTAAAAGAGGGCTGAGCACAAAAATAAAGAAACCAGAAATGCTCTATCAGATACGTGAGCTATGCTAGACCTGTCTTTCCTTCAAGCCTGCAGGAGCCACATGTGGTCATTCAGTGCGACTCCACTGAGGACATGCCTCTCCAAGGCACTTGGCCAATGGACGCACCCTACCATTTGCAGCATTTTTGAAAGGCTGTCTTGACCCAGCTTTGAGGGCCTGGCTGGAGGTCAGTTTCCCCCTTCCTAAGCAGGCCATGAAGTCCAAACCCCCAACCACTAGCCATGTCAGAATGTCACAGCCCAGGTCACCCTACACCAGCCTTGATCACTCCCTTTACTCTCTGCCCAACTGTAGTTATTCAAACTATCCAATTCTACTAGCCTACTTTCCCTTCCTCATCTGTTCCTTCTCAGAAACCACAGTGAAGGTGCAGGCCCACGGTCCCCTCATCACCCATCTCAAGACCCACCCCTGCACCTTCCAAGTGGCCTAAGTGTTTTCCCCAAGAGCTCCAAGTAGCCAAATTGTAAAACCCTTTTCAAGTCTGTCTCTTGATCTGCACTTGGCCTCCCTGTTCCTCACCCAGTGTAATATGGTTGCAGCATGGCCCAGCACATACAAACAGTTCAAGGGTTGTTTTCGATTATACAGGCCTGGAGGCTGTCAGCAGCTGAGCACAACCTCAAAAAAGCCTGCATGAGAAGTTCTTCAGAGTCAAAGAGGTGACTCAGCATGTGGATGAAAATAAACGATTATCTCCCTGTATTAGAAGGAAGTCACACCAAGAAACCTGTCCATGCTCCAGAAAGTACGTTTGCTGGCACACAGTTCAACCAGATACATCAAAATGTGCTGATGGTTAGCACAATGTCTTGGTTACCCGAGTCATCTAAGACTCAGAGAACATGGAACAAGCTTGCCAAAGCACCTTGTGGGAAAGCACGTTGTCTTGCAGTGACCGGATGGCATAAGCACTCACTTGCTTTTCAGGTAATGTGACGAGCTCTCTGGTCTCCCATACATGGCTACTACTGGAAGATGAGGCTCTGGTGGTGATGATGCAAACACGGGACTTCCTCAACATCTTAGGAATTGCTATCTGCAGCGAGGATCTTGCCTCACTCACATTTTCTAAGTGGACAAAGAAGCAGCAGATGGTTCTCACGGGGTCATGAGTGGTCATTCTCATACTTCAACATTCAGTAAACTGCATTTGGCACCTATGTGCACCAGAAAACTGCAGGTTGATAGACTGCTGTGAGCATCATGATCAGCATGTACTCAGGTAGGCAGCTGCACTGAAGCTCCCTGTGCCAACACCATCTTTTGTTGCTGCGTATCATAGTCCACCCATTCTGCCATCTGGGACCTCATGCAGCCACTGAGCTTAGCCTGCTCCCTCATGCAGCTACTGAGCTTAGTCTGCTCCCTCATGACATTCTTTCAGCATTATAAAGTTGTGAAGAGGCTCTTCCTGCTGCTGACTAGGAAGGGTTCCAACTGTGTGGCAAAGACCAATAATAGGTCAAATGCAGCCTTTCTCTCTGCCTCTTCTGTTGAGTCCAAGAAGCCAAAACTCTTTGCCCACCTCCCTTCTAACTCAGGTGGTCATGTGATCCATTTCTAATCTATGGGACCTTGGGGAGAGTTCTGATAAAAGGGATCGACCACAGTGATAACACCAAGTCCCTCGCCCAGAATTGGATATAGATGTTTATACAGACGACCACTTTGTAGACAAGTACACTTACGCTCTTGAGGAACTGAGGAATAAAGAAACTTGTGGGTAGTTACCATGCTACTTCCATAGAGGTGCACCTGTTGGGATGACTTTTTTTGGGGGGGTGGGGGTAAAGTTAAAATGATGCATACTTTAACAAAAAGATACTGTCGGTTTGAACCCACTATTCAGAGTGAGATGATTTTAGGTATATTTCCTGTCATATGGCTTGATTTGTGACTGTCTATCTTACAAGCAATAAAAATCAACTAGGGGAAGTCGTCCTCATTTCTATGGCTTCCCCTTTTCTAGGTATTGGACCAGCCTGCATAGAAATAAGACAATGAGAATCCAGGCCTGTCCTGACTCCACACAGGAAGACAGCTGCCTTTGGATACAACACAGCAGGGCGGTTTGTGGTTAACTGGTCTACCTGTACCACTACAGTTTCTATGTAAGTGCTTAGATTATATGAAGGATAGGGATCATAAAACTCATCAATAAGGCACCTCCCATGAAAAACTTAAAACTAAGGACTTGTAAGTTCAGGAAAAGGCAGAAGATGGCATAAGGAGCCAAGTCCCCAGCCTCACAGACTCTGCCATGAACACACAACTCAAGAGTGCAGAACTAGTGTCTGAAGATACACTCTCCTTCACCCAGCATTTATCCAAGCCCAGGAAAGCAATTAACACCAACTTGAAAAATCCATGTTAAACAAGCCCTTGGGATCTCCCTAAGGCAATGATTTTCCATGAATTGAGGGAAGACAAACTCTACTAGACTAGACAGCAATGCCGAACCCAGATTTCATCCAGGCTGCACTGTTCAAACTAAGTCCAAGACTTTGAAGCCAGAATGACCCCTAAGGATTGTTCTTTATTCAAATGAAACATCTTAACTCGGATCGAAACACAATAGTGAAATGACAGTCATGCTGCCTGCCCGACTCAACCACGGTTAGATGATGTTAAGTTACATCTCTGGTTTTTCCTCCTCACCCAAGGAAAACGTTTTGAGTTTTTTTTTGTTTTTTTAACGTGAACACAAACATGCAGTTTGTGAGGTCACAGGCACAGGATGACAGGGAGCAAAACCACAACAGTCTTGAAGTGTCCCAATGCCTGGGCACAGCCACTGCTTGGCTGTACACCCCAGGGGAAGTGACTTTATTACGCAAAATACTACTTTGAGGGTTTCCCCCCCAACTATCAAATGGAGATAATATTGATCTATAGGAATTTTCTCCTCCTGTAGGTCCAAACTATTCACAGCAGCAAGTTCCCAGGGTGCAACTTAATCATTCCTGCCCTATCTACCCAGTTTGTTTTTCTTAAAAAATCAAACAGTAGTCTGATGAAGGTAAAAAAAAAAAAAAAAAAAACCACCACCCTATAAAAGACCATCAACTCTTAGCACAATAGGAATCCATGCTTTGATTGCCACCCAGGTGCTGCCTTATACATGTGATTCTGGAGGCAGCATTTTGATCCCTCTTTACAAGTGTGGGAGACCAACCTTACACATGACTGAGCACCTCAGCACCCAGCCGGGGAGTGTGACTCAGTTTCAGGAATGTGGCAGAGTTTCCCCACCCTTCTTAGGTTGGAGGTTCGGTGTCTCGTGCATCGGTGTGTCTTGCTACAGCCCCACGGGTGGAGCTATGCTCACTTATTCCTTTGTAATATAACCCCTTGCCCTGTTTAGGATAGAATCTTCCATCGAAGTGCCTTGTGTGTGTCCCCTTTTACTGTGCCCTTGGGTGTGGCCTACCCAGGTGTCAAACTGCTGACAGTGGACATCATAAAGATAGACACAGCCCCCTGAAACTTGACCCCTTGCCTCATTTGAATGGCTTCTCAATAAAAAGGGTCAGCACATGCTCTCGCTCTTCCTGTGGACCCTGAAGGTCAGATGAGCCATCACAGCGACCCCAAAGAAAAAGGTATTTGTGTCTCTTGTGTGGTTATTTTGCCCAGCCAAGTTAGCCCAGTTCAACTGGAGTGACCCGTGAGCCTTTTATTAGTGAGAAAAACCTGGCAACAATGCAATTTCCCACGCCTCAGACCTTTCCAGCTAGAAACAGGAGGATGTGATGAGGGGTGTGTGCCCTCACAAGAGCCCCAGGTAATAACTCAAGTTGGAGAAAAGATTTTCCTTCAAGAAATAAAAAGTCATCCTCTTTGGTTTGGGTGGCATTCTGCTAAAATGCAGACTCTACCAAGCCCACTTACTCTGAGGTCATTTGTAGGTTATTCATAACCTGGAGGAGGCTCCATGGGCAAGGGAGTAAAATAAACTCCATCACTAGTTACTAGGAGCTGCTACAAGCCTATGAAGATGCCATCTTCTGCCAAAAGGAATCTTTACCACCACACTCCGGAGTCCGAGTCTTTTAAAAAGCTCTCAGTGTAAGTTCCTGGGGAAGAACGCTGGCCTCCCGTGCAGGGGGGACTTACCCCTCAGGATGTAGTTCTGATAGTTCTGATCCGCCTCAGCTCCCACCTTGATCAAACACGTCAGACCTTCAGCCACGACAAATTCATGCACCAAATCCTTGTCATCCTGACAGGAAAGAAAAATTTTTTAAACTTCAAATATAGTCCCCCACCCATCTTTCATCCAGGCTGCACTGTTCAAACTAAGTACAAGCCTTTGAAGCCAGAATGACCCCTAAGGATTGTTCTGCTCTATTCAAATGAAGCATCTTAACTCTTGCCAAGGAATTTTACAGCCTTCACATTGTCACTTGGTGAAGATCAGTTATTGCCTTCTGGGCAATCTAATAAGGAAAGAACAAATGAATTCCTTCCCTATCAGAAATAGTGGTAGGACTGTTTTTCATTCTTCAAAAATTACCAGGATTTATGCCACCCTCCCCCACAGGTCACAGGAATTGGCCACATGAAGGTTGGCTGGATTTTTACTATAGGAAACATTCTATTATAGCATAGACCATCAAGTTAAGGACTCAAAGCCACTTCTGTGTTATGACAGTCACGGGACAGTAGTTACAATGAGACTTGCAAATGCTCTCTGAGAACCCATTTCTTCAGCCTTCTGTATTGTGCTGCTAGCAGGCCAAGGAAGGAAGCTGAGCTCAGGACTAGCCACACCACCCCTCAAAGAGCCAGGGTGGTCTGGGTCAGTGGAAGGCAGGACATGGAAAGAACATAGGTGACCTAATTCAGTGGTTCCCAAAGGACACAGACCCACAGAGAAGGCAGCAAGACTCACCTAGGAACTTGTTAGAAATGCAAATGTCTTGGCCCCACCCAAACCCAGCCTGTTGTGTTTAAGGAGCCCTCTGGGTGACTTGGAGGCTCCGATGGGTCTCATCCCTGACTCCTTCACATTAGGATCATCTAGGGAACTTTAAAGGGATTAGCAAGTAGGACCTTATGCAGATGGATTTGATCCGAATTTCCAGGGTAGGACCCTGGAATTGCCTGGGAAATCCTACAGGGCCGCCCATTCGAGAATCACTATTCTAATACTACATTCTCTTTACAGATCAGATAGTTTAAGACTCAAGAGTGGCAAAAAGTGCTTGACCAAGACCATTTAACCATGTTTGGCCAATCCCCAAACCCTGACAGTTCTTGGTACCAACCAAGTTCAGTGGAGCCCTATGAGACTGGTTTTTCCATCACTGCTTTCTCCATTGAAACTGGGAGCTCCTCAGTTGAACAGTGTGCCTCGTCTCAAATACATCTAGGATAAGGCTGGGACATCCATTATTTGATTTAACAGGGCAAAAATGAGAAACCTCAGTGATGTAAAGAGTAGAACACTTAATGGAATAATGAAACGGTTGTTCTAGGAATAGTCAGCAACCACAGTTTATCTCTAACAGAAAAAATAATTTAGACGAACTGGTGTAATTCTCCTGTCCCCACGTGAAAGTAGCCCTTTTCTTTGATTCCTATGCTTTTTTCCAATAGGATGGATGGGGGTCTTGAGCCAAGTGTGGGCAGATGCAGCAAAGGGACCCTGGGAACCATGACAGCACTCTAGGGTCAGAGCTGGCTCTAGGGGGGAGGGTGGGTGAGCAATGCTTGCGCCCTGAAAGTAATGAAACACAGCTGTGTTAACTCAGACTTTGAGATAATCATGACTGTGGAAGAAAGAAAATGGGACAATGTCATGAGTTTTTGGAAAATTACTTTACACTCATATGTAGAAGGGAAATAAAAAATAATTCTCTCTCCATCCATATCCTTTTCCACCAGCATATGTGAAAAGTGGACATTTAGATGAGCTCATGTCTAGTCAGGTTTTTTCCAAGCATGTTACAAATGTTTATTACTTTAACTAAAACTAGATTCACACATGACTTCATGGTGAAAAAGTGAGGACAAGCTCAAGAAATGGCTCAAGCTAATCACTAATAGTAATATAGCAGAGGCCGGACTGGCAAAGGCTCTCGGAAAAAACACTGGACAGGCGAGACAGTGTTTATAGAAGTAATTCAGAACTTTAAAATGTATGCACACATGTAGATAAGGCACTTAGGAGAGACAAGTTGATGGATAATACATGTACAGAAAATCTTCCAAATTGGCAGTGTGCTAGGTCTTGAACACATATCCAAACAGGCATAAATATGACTTTTTAAACACTGGTGTCAGACTAAAATGGGATGTATGTTAGCACTAACCAGTGATTAATGGCTGCAGTTCGGAATCTTCTATAACTGCATTAACCTGTGGTCATTTGAGGAATACTCAGTTCAGATGATCAATGGTCGTGATTGTTTAAGCTCAAAAATTCTAGTTTCAAAAAGAATCTCCACACATAGCAAACAGGAGATGGACCTAAGGGTAGAGAAGGTGGCAATCTCAGCCCCAGACAGCTTGCTGCCTGTGTAATCCAGTTAATCCCCAGTGACCTGCTCTGTGGCCAAGAGCTGTTTGTGCACACCTGTGTGGCCTTCAAGTCCACTCCCAACTCCTGGTAACAAGCACCTTCTTCCTGAACTCTACACTGCTAACCAGGCCACACAGAAATATGTTTAATAGTGGAAACAGCAGCTTTGAGAATTCGAGCAACATATACTCTGTAGTAACTAACCTGGTTAGGCTTATTAACTCTTCATTTTAAATAATTTATACACAACCGTAGGTGCCAATTTATGCCAACCCTCTTTCACCCATCACCCCCAGTCTCTCCCGTCAGTCTAAATCAAGTTCAGATGTCACATATCAGAAAACTATAGATTAAATGATGTATATCCAAACTCTAGGAACTCTTAATATATAGTCACATTAACAATACTTTAATCCAGTCATTAACCAAATTCCCAGCTCTTTTATAAATACTGTTTGACAGTTTGTCCTAGAATCCAAATAAGATCCACACATAATTAGTTGATATAACTGCAACAGCTTTGACATTCATGGTTATTTTTTTCCCCTTGAAGTTTAATCATTGGAGAGATCCATCTAGATTTTATTGATTACAACATTGTGGTACAAATTTAGCATACATCTGTCCTGGATCATTTATAAGTTGGTTACTACACAGAGGCATGATCACATCCAGGGTTGGATCTTGGCTTGACCACAGGGCATTTTTTCCTCTTAGGAGGTACATAATATCTGATTGTATCCTATTTCTATCATGACAGCAATCCTGATGCTTGATACACAGATCCATTGATTCATTAGTGGCTTAATTATATCTGTAGTACTGTAGTCCTTACTAGCTGGGATACTGCTACAAATGAGACTTCCTCCTGACTACTGATTATCCTCAAGTTCACATATGAAAAGGAAAGAAAATTGAGATTCTAAATCTTCACCTATTTTCAAAATAGTGAGCTACTTCATTAACATTTTCTCATAAGTACATCTTTTGCATACTCATTTTGACAATTTGTTGTTATTTTTAGCGTACTTATAACTTCATTAATTCAAACCTATTTGATGTGTTTAGGCCCACTGCCTATTGCCCCATCTCTAGTCAGTCAGCAGGAGACCCTGTAACTTGCTTCCCAGTGCCTCTAGAAATAATCCTAGTATCATCTGATAGCTTCCGCTCTCTGTACAGTAAGAGGTTCCAAGTTTATAACATTTCCTACACACACCAAGAATGAGCCACTTCTCCAAGCCGCTCTCATTCCTTCCTTGCAGTTTTAGCCTGCAATCTCATTGCTTTTTATGATTATGCTTTCAGTTCTTTTAAACAGATGCTTCTAGATAATCTATACTATGGGTTCATTCTGATACTTCCCATTCAGTTCAGGAAAGTTTTTAACTGAAGAATCATAATTTTTTTTTTTAAGAACTCTAAAGCTTCACACACCCTCACAATGATACCTACACCATTACCCTCAATTATTATAATCAGTCCATGGGGCATGGGGTGTCTTCACTAAAGGTACAGAAACTACGTGTTTAAATCCCTTTGGTAGGTAGCTTCTGTGATTCTACCAACAACTCAATACTCAGGGGGAAAGTTGAAGCTGAGCAATGGAGACAGAGGCAGGCTGGAAAGATGGAGTGAAGAGTAGTGTGTGGTCCTATGGAGACACAGTAAGTATGGCCCAACTGCAGACTCTAGAGGGGAGAGAGGGAGGGATAAGATGGAACCCAAGATGGAGACTTCCACACATGCAAGAGACTATGTTCACAACACTGTAGTAACGATAACACTGGAAACTAACCATCTGCCAAAAGATCAACCACCCACCCACCTTGTGCTCTGTTTATATAATGCAATACTTGACCAGTGCTGCATCATCCATCATGCCTATACCCATAAGTAAACTGGGGCAGGCAGCAGGCAGCACAGAATGGACATCAAGTGAACACAAGGTTACCACATTGAATATTTACCAAGAAAAAGGAAACATACATGTGCACGATAAATACCATTCAACAGAGAGGGGATCTTGGCAGGAGTTGGGGGAGGCTGGTATTAGGGAACAGATTTTCAATTATATTCATATAGATTTTCTTTTTCGATGAAGTAAATATGGCAAAATTATGATTCAATAATTTTTATCTTTACTTTTTATATTTGAAATGTTTGATTTTATAAAATATTCTTCACGGATATTCTGACCTGATTTGTAAGTGTGATCCAAAGAGCCCTTTCTTTTGGTAATGAACAGCAACTTTGATCTAATCCCAAAGCAAAGCAAAACAGGACCTGAAGTACCTTTTTCTTTTTACCTGAAATATCTGCTTCAGGGAGAAAAGGGCCCTTCTTAAATCTCGTCCAGAAGAGTTGTACAGTTTTTCTGAAATAAAGAAGAATGTAAATTAATTCATGTGACTCAACAGATGGCATAAATACAAAGGGGTTATGAAGGTTAACAATTTCTACTCAAAAAGGAACAGGGAACGGACACATCCATTCCATATATACACATACATATAGCCCTCACTCCAGAAAGAATGATTCACACACTCTGCTAATAATGGCAGAGAGGAGACAGGAGAGTTGTGTAACAAGATACACCCAGATTTGCACTCTTGGCCCCCAGCTTCCTTCTCTAAATCACTATTTAACACTTTGTCATAGACCCTTTTCCAGTTTTACAGCTATTTCCACTTGATGGCCACATACACCCAGAAAATCTCTGTAGCCAAAACAATGCATCCTTCTACCTCACTCCTTCCTGGCCTTAGAGCCCCTGTATCCTATACTTTCCTCATTTATGCTTAGAAAGCCTCAGAGGCCCTCCCCTTTCCTGGGTCTGCTGGTGGCCTTGAACGCACCTATGGGCCCCACTTCCCCATGCAGTACAGAAGACCCAAATGCTGTGAGATGGTTGTATAGACTAACTCGCTCCCTGTAGTCTTGCAATGATCCTCTAGAAGCTAACCTTACCTCCTCCCCAGGCACGGGCACTGACTCATGTTTAAGGATGGTCCCGGCCCACAGCAAGGTAGAAGGACGAGTCTGGCCTTCAAATTCCCTAGCTCAAGACTTGGGCTGACTTGTATAACTCAGAGAGACAAGTATGCCACAATGACTAGGTGGCCAGTGGGTAATGCTACAAGGTGCTAAGGATACATAGGAGAGTTCAGTACTGGTATCTGCAGGACATTTGGGAGCATGGAGTCTGCTTAACATTGCAGGAGCCACGCTTGGTCCTGCTAGTGCCATTCCATTTTTACAAAGATGTCATCTGCGAAAGTACTCCAAACCTGTAGCTTTCTTATGCAAGTCATTTTAACAAATGTCAGCTTTTGTTAAAAGCATGTTATCCCTTCATCACATGAAAGCAATACTGGAATCATCTTCAATATGGTTGAAATAAAAATAACTAAATATTCACTGAAACGAGTATTACTCTAGAGCACTGATCTTTGAAAAGACAAGACAATCCCTCTCTACAAAGAGCCAACACCATGGTAGGAAACGAAATCACGGTGCTTAATTCTAACTCAAAAAATTGCTAGCTATTTTTTTAAACAGTGGCACCAAAAAAAGCCTAGATGCCAACTTGTTCTGCTTATTCAAGGTTGCAAGGTTCTCTCCCCCAACTATACCTGGTTCACTGTGTAGATTGTTCTAACAGCCTGAATGCCAAGGGAAGGAATTCCAAGTGTCTACTGCCCAAAGAAAAATCAGGCGGTGTAAAACAAGACCATACACCATAGACCAAGAGGGGTCTGGAGCCCACCCTAAGCCATCAAGAGGGCAGCAACGCAATACAGCTTCACCTCCAGTTTCTCTGACCCTACAGAGGTTCTCCTTTCTCCTCCTCAGCCATAAATACACGCCAACAAAGCCGATGCAGCCTCCACCAGGGGAGAATGTGGGACAGCTATGGTTGCTATCACCGACAGGAGACGCCAGTTTACCTAGAATCTTAGCAAGAACTAGGGACCAAGGATGTTCATAAATGACATGTAATTTGTCCTTTACAGAAGGTACAATTCCTGCTGGCAGGGGAGGATCCAGCAAGCCCTTCCCCTATGTCAGACTTCCTGCCCACAAAAGTGACTGCTGAGCACCCTTTGATGTGGCTCAGAGAAACCTACAGGCCTAAAGGAGAAGCACTCCTTCTCATAGCTCAGGTCCTGGCTTTCTTGCTGCCTGACATCACCATGGGAAGCATGGGCTGGAGCTTTCACTGAGTGACATTGAGCTCAAGACCCCAGGCATTCTACGGTTACCACGGCTGGTACAGGCCTCCCCCCCTTCAAGTAAGTCTAGCGGGTGAAGGGCTCACGGACACTGTTGGGCCCATTTCCTATTGAACTCCAATTACTCCTTTAGAAGCAGCCTGTTTATGTGGATTCAGGCATGAGTCCCAGTCCTGGGTTACATGGGTGTAAGTCCTCCTCGACACAGGAGGATCACTAGCCTTGGCACTCCCTAGGTTTGCAATATAGTGCCATCCTCTATGGGCTGTGCTCTCATGTGTAAGTCCGTGTGTGCAGATTCATATGCATGTGTGGCTTCTGCCTGTGCTTAGTGGAGCTGAGCTTGCAAGGTTCTCTCCCCCAACTATACCTGGTTCACTGTGTAGATTGTTCTAACAGCCTGAATGCCAAGGGAAGGAATTCCAAGTGTCTACTGCCCAAAGAAAAATCAGGCGGTGTAAAACAAGACCATACACCATAGACCAAGAGGTATCTGGAGCCCACCCTAAGCCATCAAGAGGGCAGCAACGCAATACAGCTTCACCTCCAGTTTCTCTGACCCTACAGAGGTTCTCCTTTCTCCTCCTCAGCCATAAATACACGCCAACAAAGCCGATGCAGCCTCCACCAGGAGAGAATGTGGGACAGCTATGGTTGCTATCACCGACTCAGGAGAGCTCAAAGTCAGAGCATAAGGGCAAAAAGGTACCTGAGCAAGCAAGATAGAGCTGGGTCCCTTCCTGGTCACTGTGAAGAAAGTATAATATTAAAACTCAAAGCAGAAATGCAGGGCTGGGGTCAGGCTGGAGTGTAAAGGGTGGCTTTTCTCCTGAAATTTCGAGAGTGCTTGGAGGAGTGGCCAGCAACTCATGAGACTCATGCCTGCAGAGTGCCAAGGAAGATGTGGTATGGATTCCAGCAGCTGAGGAGATCCAGAGGGAGCTAATTTTACATCCCTATTGTTAGTTAGGCACAGTCCAGGCTTGGCCCCTAAGTGAAGAAAGGAAAATATATATTCTTTTACCCCTTTCAAACTAACCCTGCCCAGGTTGCAATCATTTGCAGAACATTAGCTTTTATGTAAAGGGCAATTAGTGGCCTACATTTGGTAGCGAGCTCTAGTCTGAACCTTGCCGAAGTCTTTGAAACTGTGCCCTCATCCTTCCTCTCCATGTTTCTTGCCTTTTAAAGTGAGCACTGTTCCTTTAATAGATGCAATTAGTATATTATACTCTAAGCTAGTTTATAAAAAGTAGAGGGCAAAAAATTAAAGGCCAATGGAGACCATGCCTGCTTTGTCATTGGGAAACTCCCTGTGTGGCCCACAAACATCAGTGCTGAAAAGCACAGCCAAAGGTGTCCTGTGCCCCCTGCTCAGCCAAAAGCACAATGAAGAACATTGATTAAGAAAAAAAAACAGGGGGGGGAATTAGAACCACTTTAAATCAGTAGAGAATGTGGAGGTTAAGAACCAAGATCACCTTTGAGAAGGTATGTGGTAGAGTGAAAGATGCATCTAGAATATCAAGCCACCAGGCTTGTCAAATCGATAATTACGAAACACTCTTCTATCACCAAGTATCAAACACATTAGCCAAGCACTCCAAGGGAAAACTTGGGCCAAGACCTAGGATTCTCTCCTCTGCTCAGGGCAGAAGATGACTTTCCTTTTTCCTTGTGCAGATACAAAATCCACCACACTGAAAGGAGATACATTCAGAGGCAAGATGCCCGAGCCTACATTTGAAACTATCAGCTATGGAGTGTACAACTGTTGATTTTTCAGGAGCAGCCATAAGAAATGAGCTCCTTGTCTACCAGGAATTGAACTGTGATGTACTCTTCAGACACTGGGCAGAGAGATGGGGGGAAAAAAAAAAAATCAACTTCATGAGACTAAAGACTGTCTGAAGAAAAACAATGGCCAGGGTTGGGTGATGTTCCAAGACAGGAAGCACTCAGCCTAAATTCTTATTGGCACTGAGTGAGTCAAGGATTCCACTCTGGATATTCTTCTCATGAATTCAGACATTTCAGGTGATTCATGGATCACCAGGAAGTACTCTCCAATTCAACCTGCAACTGCTGCCTCATTATTACATGGTAATATTTTAATTTTTTTTCAATTTTGAGACAGGGTCTCAAAACAGGCTACCCTCAAACTTACAATCCTCCTGCCTCAGTCTCCCAAGTAGCCGAGATTGCAAGGATGCACCACCATGCACAGCTACAGGCTGATATTTTAAAGAAAAAGGCATCGTGAAAACTGGTTTAATTAGAATGGCTAGGTCTAACTTTGGAAGTCATCTTTTTCCAATAATTTTAAGTTTCTTGGAACAACACACTGATTTAATGAGTATTCAAAAATATATTCAGACATTAAAAAACAGTTTCAGAAGGCACAGGTACATGGAAACTTCCAGTGGGCTTTTGGAAGATTTTATGGACTACCAGGGAAGAATTCTTGATCTGACCAAACATCTCCATTTTACAGATGAAGAAACTAAGAGGTGACATAGTTGCTTTCGGGGCCCAGACCTGAGATTGGAGGTTCACGGAAATGGAAAAGACTGAAAATGGCCAATAAAAATGGAATTGACCATATGTTCTGTTTGATCAAAAAATAACGTAAACACCCAAACTAATGAAACCTGCTTAAGTCTTAACCACAACACTTATGATGCCATGTAAATTCAGAGAACACACAGACAAAACCAAAGGCCTTTGAGAAGTCTGGCTCCTCCTACCCACCTGTGGGAATGGTAGAGGACACATGTACAGCATCCTCCCATCAGCTGAGTGGCAGCATAGCAGCCTGATGAAGAGGACGCTAAATAGGAGTGATGGCAGGATCATGTGACCCAATAAGACAAAAGACTGCTTAAGAAATCGTTTTTTAATTGAATGGAGCTGGAGAATATCATGCTAAGCAAAATAAGCCAAACCCCGAAATTCAAAGGCCAAATATTTTCTGGTAAGTGGATACTGATCCATAATGGGGGTTGGGGAGGGAGCTGGTAGGATAAACGAACTTTGGATTATGCAGAGGGGAGTGAGGGGAAAGGGTGAGGGGATGGAAGGGATGGTGGAATGAAAAGTTATGCTCCCTTTGTATACAATGTGTCAAAATGCATTCTATTGT